CAAGCAAGGATTATAGGTGATAACTCCCCTAATGCCAAAGAGAGGGATATTAGGGAATTCCCCATAATGATCAATGATGGTGACATCCTCTAAAGATCAAGAACACCAATGGATATCCGAATGCGAGAGTGACATCAACCTTTGAGACCAACTCATACATTGTTCGTTCTTTAAAACTGATCAATGAAGGTGCAAAATAAACCACCTAGCCAACAAAGGAGTACAACACATAAGAATACCCCTTCTCTTCAGGGTGCAAGTATGAAAAGAATGCAAAACATCTCCCAGTAAGGTAGGCACCAAGTTGCGATATAGAAAAACTTTGACCATATTCACATCTATGAGTTAGTCCGAGTTAGGAAATAATACCATCCCATAAAGTAGAAGAGCCAAAATTTCTTCAAAATCTTGCAAATACAAAGCATCTCAAAATTGTTGAGCCTTCTCAAACAGAAACTTGGCTAGAAAGCCTTTAACACCACTTCTTTTTTTCCCAATTTACCATAATGTTGGACCGTTGCAAATGTAAAGCTAAAGCAATCTCCTCAGGTCTTGGATATTTCTCAATACTGGTGAAGGGTAATTGATCAAGAATCGACACTCCCAAGAGTTACGAAAACTCCTCCATGGTAGGCACCAATTGGTAATCATGAAATTTAAAGCAATGGTGTTTAGGGTCAAAGAATTGAAAGAGTACCCCCATCATTTGTTCTTCAAAATTTGAGGTAGCCAAATTGATGAGACGACCATACTTCTTGGTGAACGGAGATTCATGAGGAACCCTTGATGCTAACTCCTTGAGTTGAGGAGGCAGTTTCACAAAGCCGATTTAGATAGTCTTTCTACGAATGGAATCCATGTCCTACAAAACAGACAAAGATAAATCCTATGGTCCTTGAAATGGTTAGTGTAGATGCTATAGTATGATGTCATGATGTTATGTATAAACATATACAAATAAAGCAAACAAGTCCTTAGGTTTAAGCTTGCATGATGTTTCATAGGTAAGTACCCTCTTGAAGTTTAATTGGTTCAACCTGTCCTAGAAAGTAATCGGGTTCTAGGGAATCTCAATATCATTTATCTTTCTTCATTGGGCATTGTCTCAGCACAATCAATCTTTTCTTGCGGCCGAAATATCCCAAAGTTCCGATATCAATGAGCGTAGTATCGAGTATCAACCAATTTTTAGCTTTCCACCGAAACCGACTATCTCACTACTTCCTAATGGCCAAGTTGTTCAATTAAAGGTTATAAGGTTAGTTAGTTCTTCATGACACCATATAGCGGCCCCGTATTCTCCTTGATTCAACACAAAGGATACCCGTTCCCATAAATGTGTCACACTAATGTAGATATTGCTTGAACCATATCGGTCTACGCCGTACAGTCTCCATAATCTTTGCTACTTACCTAATAATGTTCCAAGATCCGAGTATAGGATTAATACAAAACCCAAACAAGGACCAAAAATATAAAGCAATCAAATCAAACAATAAAAGCATTTAAAGGTGATCTAGTCTCTAAGGTAACCCCACTTTTAAGTATTCCTCAGCAGAGTCGCTAGTTCTGTAATACGGTAGGAGAACTGACTTAGGTGTTTTGTGTTTTATTGCAATTATTGCGGATAGAAAGAGTCGCCACCGACTTTTCTTTTATCCAATAAAGGAAATGGTGAAAAGAACAGGAAAGACCTTTTAAGAATTTTCATGAGTTCGGGGGATAGGTTATGAAAAGGGAAGGTGTTAGCACCCTTTTCATCCGTAGTTATCTACGGGCTCTTAGTTGCTAGCTCACTTTGAAATGATTTGTTTGAAATGTGTTTTGTGATGTTTTTGAAAGTATTTTTGAAAAGTGCCTTCGTTTAGGCGAACTTTGTAATGATTCTCTTCTCTATAAGAATGCATACAAAGTGTTGACTTTTGAAAATATTTTCATGGAAAAGTATTGGTTTATTTTTGAAAGATGTTTTTAAGATGGTTGTGAGAAAGCAACTAAGAACGTTCTATCTACTCAAAAAGTTTTTGTTCATTTCCTCCTCCTTAAGATATTGTTATCTTACCATTAGTTAGTAAGCAACCATATCATTGGATGTGAAGGGACAAGCATGAGTCATCGTACAATCATAGAAGGCACTATTGTAGGATACCTTAGCAATTTGTCGTAAGGATCTAAGATTATTTATCGAAGGCAACATTGAAGGATCATCAAGGGACTACGATCTTGTATTCGAGGGTCATTGCTAAAGTATCCCACGTTCGAGGGACATGAATATTTTATTTTAAGGCAACAAGTGTGGGTTAACCCTGGAGGTGCAAGTGTATGAAGTGTTTTTTATGTATTGTTTGTCTTGAATTAGGGTTTTCTACTTGTTGGTTTTATGTCTTTCCATACAAACCCTAATTATTACCATTTATATTGAAAGCGATAAATTGGGAAAATATAAAAGTCTACACTATTATATCATTTGGGGATGGGGGTACAAATTTACAAATGAGGGAGCAAGTAAATAAAAACCTAATTTATTATTACAATCATATTGAACTTGAACAAATAATGTACAAGAATGTGAGATAATGTACAAGGAGAGAAGAAATTATTTTGCTTAAGTTTTTGTTATGAAAATGTTTTTAACCTAAATAAACTAAGGAAAAAATTAATTAATTTGATTTAAGAAAACTAAACCTAATTTAATTAAGAAAAGAAACTGAATTTGATTAAGAAGACAAGTTTTTTAGGATTTTATGAAAAAGTTTTAATCTTAATTAAACTAGTATAAAAAAGAAAATAAATACGGAACCGTTATCAAAAAGATCAGATATGCGTTAAATCGATAGAACGAATACGTAAGATGAGAAAAACAATCAATACATTTTTTCAGCAACCACGTTTGAATTTAAATCACAAAATAGTAATTTATTTCCAATGAAATATCAAACAAAAGTTAATATAATAAATTTGTCGAACACTTGGTGTGCAATCACTTCAAGATATATTTTCTATGATTCTGTCGATATGTAAATCCAATTACAATAACATAGATTGTAATCAACTTAGCAAAATAAATTGAATTATTAAACAAAGAGATTATCTCAATGTATCGATTGCACAATTAAAGTTTTCACAATATGTAAGTAAATGTAAATGAGAGATATAGAGTATAAGAAAGAGACACATGGATTTGCATAAGCAGTTCCACAATCGGTCTTGTTATGGGTATGTCTGCCCCCAATTCCCTTTGAAGTTGAGATAATGAAAATTGACCTTTGCAAAATATTTTTTACAAGAGAACAAGTAGAAATTCAATCCTCCAAGCCCTATGGTGGATGTTGATCCTAATTTCTTCTCTCCCCTTGATCAGAGCTCGATCAAGTAACTTGATACTTTCAATTTGATTCTCCAGTTACTACTATTCCTTTTATAGAACCCACGTTCTTCAAAGCCTTTGCTCAGCTGAATCCAAATTGTGAATGCATGTATCGTGACCCAAGATTACCAAAGTGATCCTCCGATTACTGTTACTCCTTTGACAGAAATACCCGTTATTCAAAGCTTTCACTCAGCTGAATCCAAATTGCACAATCTTGTGCAAAACTCCCAAATCAATCCTTGATCTTGAAAGGAAGCCCTAAATAGATTTATCTTGAAACCCCCAAAGATATTTCAACCCAATTGATTACATCGAATCCTAATTGGACATTATCAAATTATCTCTTGATCACATAAAAAAATGATTATGTGTAGTTGTCGTATGTATGCAATGAGAGAAGATGAAGATGATGAAAATATTTGTATATTTTTGGTTTCAATAATGAAAATTTATACATGAATGACTATATATGTATGAGTGTGTGAAATAATGAAATAGAAAAAATAGAAATGCAACTTATAAAATTGGACATTTTGACCAGTGGGAGCCGACACATTCGAAGTGGGAGTCGATCCATACTTCCTGAGAGTCGACTCTAGTTGGACATAATTTTTTTTTGAAAGTAGGAGTTTAGACATATCACGTGGGAATCGACTCCTTCGTGTTATGTGTCGACTCCAAGTGACTGGGAGTCGACCCATCATGGACAGGGAATAATTTTTAAAAAACACTTTAAGTGGGAGTCGAGCCACAGCTCGAAGGAGTTGACTCCTTCATGTTGTGCATTGACTCCAAGGTCCCGGGAGTCAACTCCTTTTTGACAAAGAGTTTCATTTTCAAAAATGTTTCAGAGATAGTCAACTCCTACGATAACTGAGTCGATTCCAACCATGATTTTTCACAAAAATGCATATTTTGACCATTTCAACTTGTCCAAATACTTTTGACATGATCTAAAGGTGTCCTAAGTTGAAAATGCAACCTAGACATAGAGAGATAATGTCCAATATACAAATACTATATATTACCTAATTTTGATATCATGCAAAACATCTAAGAAACGATATTGCACTCACAACTTAGATATTGAAGTGTTAACCTTACAGATTCACCCGCTTGTTCGAAATTCCACACCAATCAATAACATGATGTTATAAGCATAAATAAATACATACATTACAAAATATTTAAAATTCTAAAAATACTTTATTAATAATTATAAGAAAATATTAATTATATAATATTAAAAAGAAGTAATATATTATTTAATATATATTTTCTCCAAGAATATTATACTATTTAATATTAAAAAATATATCTTTAATTAATAGAAAATGTGAGAATAAAAAAGAGAGTTTTGAAAGAAAGAGTCAAATACATTGCATATAAGAAAACAAGTATTACTATTTATTTAGTATCATAAAAAAAAGTAATATAAGTACCATTTAATAGTATTATATCTTTTGACCAAGTATATTATTTTATATTATTTCTAACAATAAAAAAATGAAAATTAGAACTTCAAGAAAAGTAGCAATCAATAGGTTTGAAAATAGTGCAAGTATATTTTAATTAATCAATACACTTTTTTTCTACATACGTGGATTAAAGTTCTTATTACCAAAAAAAGAAAAAAAAGAAAAAAAAGAAACAAAGACACCCCCTTTTCCTTATTCCTCTTTGTGATTGTGAATATGTGTATCTCTATCTATCTGTCTTTCTTTTTGCCCTTGGTGGTGCGCGCGTGTCCATCTATAAAACTACAACTACCTCCTTCCTACCTATCTACCCTGCACGCTCTTTCAATGCTCTTACTAGCCGCCCAGCCCCTAACCTTCTTTATATAATCCAACTCAAACCCTTTCTTTTTCTCTTGTCTTCAACACAACAACTCAATTTTCTTATATTCTTCTTCATCTAGGAACAAACAAAAACCAAAAACATGGCTCCTTCTTTTGATATTAATACTCATACTGTTTGTGTTATGGATGCTTCCGGTCAATTGGGGTTTAGTCTTGTTCAAAGACTTCTTCTAAGAGGGTACACCGTTCATGCCTCCATTCAAAAATATGGTATTTGTTGTCATTAATGTTATGTGCTGGCTAATTAATTAATTACTTTTTTTTTAATTAATTGATTAATTTATTTGTAGGGGAAGAAGACCTATTCAATGGAGTTTCTGCTGATTCTGATAAACTCAAGATTTTTCGATCAGATCCTTTTGATTATCATAGCATAATTGATGCTCTTAGAGGTTGCTCTGGTTTGTTCTACTCGTTTGAACCTCCTCTCGACCAACCCAATTACGATGTAAGCAAAAAAAAAAAAAACACCTTTTTTCATGATGTTTTTGTTTGTTTTTTGCTATCCGTTTCTCAACCATAAATTTTAGTTGGATTGATATTTTATATATTTTTTTAAAAGAATTAAATCAATAAAAAAAAGGAACAAATTTCATTGGGATTTGGGTTTTGGAAGTACTAGTATTCTTCTTCTTGGACTTATTTTTTGTATTATTTGATGTTGATGATGTAATAATGATAATGAAAGAGTTAATGCATGAGTTTTCTCGCTGTTGATAGCTGTTGAGTGAGATGAAAAAGTAGAGTTCCTTTGCATTTGAACTTTATGATTAAAAAGCAAACTTCATTTATTGGTGCACGTGGTGGTAGGCACCATTTGCCTGATTTTCTAATCACTTACTTGTTCCATCTTACCTCTAATTTCTTCTACTTGGAGTGATGATTCTTGTGTTAATCTCATAGTCCTTGAATAAATATGTATGTCTTAGTCAATTTGTGCTAGTTAATTTTATCATATGATTATTTGATTGTTTCATTCTAAAAGTATAGGATCATATCAACACATATTAAAATATTAGCAATCAATCATGATGAAAATTATTATATTTGCACGCAATGTATACCTCATGCAATGACACAAATTTTGTTACAGTAACTTGATTGAATCATAGTATACATTTAATTTTAGGTCCATCATATAACATTATTATGATTAATTTAAAAGAATTTCTAAATATTTTATGCTGAGAATATTCTTTTTTTTTTCTAAAGGAATATTAGTGACGTATTCCTTTTATAAGAAAATATATCTAAAAAGTTTATTATATAATATAATTTTTAACTAAATACATGAACATTTTTATTATATTTTATATAAGAAAAAACATGTTATAAAATATGTGATGAAATTGATGACGAGTTGTGTTGGTAACTAACAGGAATATATGGCTGACGTGGAAGTTAGAGCAGCACATAACGTGCTTGAAGCTTGTGCACAAACAGAAACCATAGATAAAGTTGTTTTCACATCCTCTGCAACTGCTGTTGTTTGGAGGGAAGATCGTAAAACCATTGAACCTGATTTGGATGAAATTCATTGGAGTGATGTCAATTTCTGTCGTAAATTTAAGGTATACATTATTAAAATCAATTACATCTGAATCATCTGATTTTAAAATCGGGATCGGGATCAGATGATTCAGATGTAACCTCAAAAGGATTAAATTTTAAATAGTAAAAGTGAATAATTGAATGTTACTATACAAACAAACAGTTATGGCATGGGATGTCAAAGACACTATCCGAGAAAACAGCGTTTGCATTAGCAATGGACAGAGGAGTGAACATGGTGTCTATCAATGCAGGATTATTGATGACTCATGATCTTTCAATTAAACATCCTTATTTAAGAGGAGCTGCCGAAATGTACGAAGATGGTGTCTTTGTGACTGTTGATTTAGGTTTCTTGGTGGATACTCACATCTGTGTCTACGAGGATGTTTCATCCTACGGTCGTTACTTATGTTTCAATCATATTATTAATACTCAAGACGACGCCGTTCAGCTCGCTCACAAATTAACGCCTACTGCATCTTCTTCCTTACCCCAAAGGTAAGGGTGTTTTAGTCTTTTTAGATTATTTATTTGACTCATTTTTTTAATTTAAAGTCAAACATTTGGACTTATAATAAAGTATATTTATTATGTGCAGCGATGACTATGGAAAGAGATTCATTGAACAGAAAATAAGCAACAAGAAGTTGAACAAATTGATGGTGGACTTTGAAGCTTAAATTTCAAGGGTTATTTATTGATCTTTTTGAACAGATATTAGGAAAATAATCTTAGTTGTTCTTATGCGGGAAATCATTCATATGTACAATTACAAAATTGTGTATGTATGCACCCACATGTTATATACAACAAATTCATGTTATTTTAATCAATTAATAATTATTTATTTATTTATAATAATTTATTGTTCACTCTGTCTCATAATATATATGTTTTTTTTTATATTTTTATATTTTTTTAAGATAATAATTAATTATATTAATTTCAATAATAAAATAAATATTATTTATTAAAATAATCTCATTAATAATAAATAGTAAAATAATTACATATTTTAAAATATAATAAATAAGAGTAACTTAATAAAAAAATAATATATTAACATTTTAAAAGAACAAATAATTCTCAATAAATAATAATAAAAAAAATAATTTTTGACAAATAAAAATAAGAGAACAGCTATTATAAAAAATTTTATATAGCCAATTCAATATAACTATTCAAAATCATTACTTTAAATATATTTTAAATAAAAATCAAACATAAATTAAGATTTGACGATTACCATTTATCGAAGAGCTAGAGTTTTTTTTTTTCTATAATCACCGAATTTCAATTAAATTCTTAATTAATTTACCTATATCTTGAATCATCTCAATTTTTTTAATAAGCCTCTAAACTAAATAAAGTTGTAATTAAGTTCTAATTAATTATTTTGTTAAGGATAAAATTTAAGTATAATTATTTAGATGTAATTTTTATTATTTTTTAATAAGCCTCTTAATTATTATATATATATATATATATATATATATATATATATATATATATATATATATATATATATATATATATATATATATATATATATATATATATATATATATATATATATATATATATATATATATATATATATATATATATATATATATATATATATATATATATATATATATGGAAAAAAAATATTGTTGACAGAAATATTTTTATAAACAATAATAAAGGGTATTAAAACAAAAATAACTTTTATATGAGTAAAAAATATATATTGTTAACTCAAATATTTTAAAAAACAGTGTTTTTTTTTAATTGGAAAACCTTTTCTATTGATCCAACTAATTTTATAATAGATGCTTAAACAAAAATAAGGTGATAAAAATTGTATTGTTGATTCAAAAAATATCAATTTCACGTATATTTTTTTTGGTAAAATATCTATTTTAGTCTTTTAATTATATTATTAAGTTTAAATTATTTCCTTTATTTTTTTCGTATGATCTTGATTCTTTAGCTTTCAAAATATTTTATTGGTTTCAAAATTGCTTCATTTATGATACTATTTTATATATTTTGGTGCCAATTTATATATTTTGAGTGTTTGGTATAATGAAGTATATTACGGTCTTATCACTATTTTGGTTAATTTATGGCCTTTTATGTTTAATCAAGGAATCAAATCATGCATATAATGTGCAATTGTTTTTATAGTTAACATTTTTTAGTTAAATGAGTATTTCACATGTCATTTTAAAGTCTACCATATTGTAACACACATGTCCTTGATGTTTCCTTTAGTGTAACAATTTTTTATGTTTTCTTTAGTGTGACAAATATGTCCTTACTGCAATATAAAATTGGACATAATTTCAACTAAGTCATTACCTCAAAACAATAACAACATGTCTTACAACACTAACATCAATATTGAATAAGGGGAAAATTCCAAATTAACAAAGTCATCACGGCATAATAATAACAATATGTCTTACAATACTAACATCAATATTGAATAAAGACAAAATTCCACATTAAAAAAGTCATTACTGCTTAACATTAACAACATGTCTTACGACACTGTTCAATATTAACCATAATCACCACTTGTTGATCAAAATACACACCAACACTATAAAAATCAAAACTAAGAACAGTACGACAAAGACTAAAATCTTCAACATCTTCAACATGTTCTTCATCATCTCTTTAATGTAGTTGTCATCTCCATAAATATTCTTAATGGCCTTTCTAAGTGTGTTGATTACTATATTTTTCTCACATTTTGAATATTTAGAAGCTTGTAACTCTTTTTCATACCACTCAAAATAATTACATCAATAATTAACACCTTCACCCTGATAACATATAACATCATCTAATTTCTATAAAATCATAAAACACAAAGAAGAATATAGAAATAAATCAACCACAAAGTATCTACGGCCCGAAAAGAATTTCCCAAAATTCTCTCCTTTCTTCCTAATAATCCGTATCACTATTTTAGCTTCATAAGGACGTCTTGGTGCGATTTCACCATGACTTGCACTCGAAATAGACGATTGAGAGTTCTGACCTCGTGGATTTGACTCATTGGTATCGTATAGCCATTTCTGGAGAAAAGATAAGAAGGATTTAAAGGGAGAAGAATGATATGAAACTAGGGATTTGATCTGATTTTTTCAAAAAACAAAGAAGAAATGTGCTTTTTGGAAATCAGTTAAATGTAAAATGTATAAATTACATGGCATCGACAGTACCGATACCTCACTCACGTTAATGTCACATATTCATTTTCGGAACGTAATTTTTAAGAAAAATTAACGGTGTACACATTTGATAACTTAAAGGACCACATTGTTACAACAAAACGTAAATGACCAACATGTTATAATAAAATAACTTAAAGGTCTCCTGGTGTATCACTGAGTATTTTAAAAACCAGACCAAACCGGTCGAATTAGAAACCGAGAGAGTCACTAAACTGGTCTGATTAGGGATGACAGTGGGTATCCTTTAGACGAACATCCATGCATTTTGAGACACC